GTTTATCATATAAAAAATAAATTCACTTAATTGCATTTTTATCACAAAGAACAAAGCATGTTCAAACTCATATGTACTAAGCCTCACAGTGCTATATGATAATGTACAACATTCAGTCTTAAGAAAATTTTTTTTTTAGAATAACAAATTTTTTATGAATAACAAAGAACAAAGCATTTAATACACATACTAAGCCTCAATAATGCTGTGTGATAATGCACATTTGCAAAAAATTAGGATTTGAAAAAATGTAAAAATTTTTTTCTTTTTCTTTTTTTTTGATAGACAGGTTTTTTTTTATAATTCACAGGGTATTTTGCGATATTAAGTCATATGATTATAGCCATTGCTACAATTACAGAATTAAACTAAACTGTTTATTATTGTTCTTATGTTCCACAAAGAGATTTGTGCCAGTTTGTAATTTTAAATGTTTTAACATTCTATTATATTTAATTGCATTGTACTACAAAGAACAAAGCACATTCGAACATGTATGCACTAAGCCTCAAAGTGCTGCATAATAATGCACAACATATTCAGTCTTGAGAATTTTTTTTTTTTGAAAAACAAGTTTATAGATAACAAAGAACAAAGCATTTAATATGCATACTAAGTCTCAAAAATGCTGTGTAATAATGCATCCTGTCTTAAAAAATGTAAAAGCTTTTTTTTTCACATTTACAAGTTTTTATACAATAATTAAATAAAATTGTTCACAAGAACAAGTCATGCAGAAATTGGATTTCTTTAAAATTGATTGAAGTACCTTTTAGACAGTGCAAAATCACATTTTCTTAAAATTAAAGTGCAGAATAGATGATTTCTTAAATATCTTTTGCCTTACTACCTTTTTATTTGTTTGTTATTTAATTAACAATTTGTCCAAAATTGAATCTGCTCAAGAAGTCTTCAATGAATACCTAATTAAAAAGGGATTTATTTATGAAATATATTATGATAAAGAGACAGTAAATAAAACAAAAGCCACAGTAAACGAAATGAGTGTCGCAGTAAATGAGCTGAATGACAACAATAATTTCCAAAATCATTAATCAGATGTAGAAAACAGATTACTAAGTAATTTTTCATCAAAAGAAACAATAATGATAAATGAAAAATATTAAAATTTAAATTTGCTAACATGACTCATGAAGAAAAATTTGACAAAAGGGGTTTAATATTACATTTAGATATTAAAAGACTTATAGAAAGATTGAAAAAAATTGAGTCAAATTTAGTCAATTTTTGGCTTCAAAACTTTATTAATAGTATTGACATTAATGAAAATAATAGCTTTTATAATACTAAATTAAGAATAAAGCAACTTGAATATATTATAAATAATAAATTAATTTCAAACCTAATTACAAAGTGCACCTTGGAAGCTATAGTGTGCACTTAGAAAGTGTATATATTACACTAGTATTCCAAGTCTTTTTGACAACAATTGTGTTAATTTATTATAGGCCTGGGCTGTAAAATTCTATGCACATATTGAGGTTAAGGGCCTATTTTTATAGAAAATATCTTCAAACTTCAATTATCTAGAAACAAAATCATTTTTAATTCTGAATTTATGTCTCTTTCTTACTTCAATATTACAATTTGCTCTTTTTTATTTAAAATAAACATAAAAAATTTTTTAGCTAATTTAAATCTAAAAATTATGAAAAAAACCTTTTACCTCTTAATATTCTTAATGCACTTATTTTATATCATATTCTTTTCCTGTTTTGATATTGCATCTATGGTATTCAGGACATTTCTCAGAAAATCAAGATTTCATTTTGTTGCATCAATAATGAAAAAAGTTCTATTTTTGTATTTAATGTTCAAATTTAATGTAGAATATAAAATTAATATTCACAAAAAAATTGATGATAAAATTCAAGAAATTTATTATTTTATGCCCAGTAATGATGCCGATGAATCATTATTTAATGACTATGATAAAGACTAATTTATAGAAAAAGTGACGATTGAAAATGTAGAATCTAAATCCAACCAATTTAATTTTCTTAGCATGAATGAAAATGATTCTAATATTAACAGTAATAAATCAAAATCTGTAAAAAAAAAGGTGTATTGAAGTGGACCAGCTAAATGAACTTTCGATAAATTACTTAATCGATGACAATATCAAAAATAATAAAAAAAAATATTTAATTGAATCATTTAATTACTATCTGAAGAAAGACTTAAATTAATTATTACTATATAACAACCTAGAAAATTTAGATGATTATTTGCAAAAAAATTTTGATATCGAGATTCATCCACTTTGTAATAATCTAGAAATAGATCATCATTATCAATAGAAAAATTTAGCAAATCTATTTAATCATCTTTGGTATTTTATTAAGGAATTCATGAAAGATCATAATTGTACTCACCTAAAAAAAATTGAGAATGAATGCAATCAATCTCGGATTATTCTATATTCATCAAAGTAATGTAATAATTGGTGATGAGATCTTTAGAAAAGTTATTAATAAGAAAAAGAATTAGAATAAATTAAATGAATATTGGATACAAATTTTTGTATTTTTTATAAAAAAAACATTGAATATATAGGTTTTGCTTCAAAATTATTATAAATCATATTACATTTACCTTTAAGAAACATTTCATCTTTCAACCCCAAAAATTATTTGTTATGAAAATAGATAGCTAAATAATTAGCTTAAATCAATTTTTTTTAGCTTAATGAACATGTATTTATCTTCTACTATCTGCTCATTCTCTAAGAGCACTGAATATTTGTAATCTAATGGAAAGTTAACTGAACTATCATTTATTTCAGTGCAGATATTTTGCAAGAAACACGATCGATAAGTAATTTTTTTTAAGCCTTTACTTATTTGAAAATTTATAAGAAGTAATGTTCTTTTCTTTAGGAATGTTGTTCATATGGGATATTGCTATAAAATGATTAATAGGTCATTTATAACAAAATTCTGAATATTATCAAAGAATAGTTTAAATGATGAAGCTCCAATTGATTTTTCAGTTTATATTCTTTGGCTCAAGATGACAGGAGCTGATGGTTTTTGATAAGTTCATGAAATTTTTTATTAGTTAGAATTGCTAGTAAAATTTTTTATAGCAATTCTTTCTTGAGTTATTTAACATTGACTAGTTTTAAGCCAATTTTTATTATTTATTTATTACTCAAATTAAATCATTCATCTCTTATAAATTTTTATTTGAAAGAAATTTTCTTCATTTATTTATTGCACAATTCCATTCTAAAAATTTTTAATTAAATTATGTATTAATATTTATAATAAAAATAATTAAACAATAAAATTACAGATTTCATTCTCTAGTAGTTCTAGTGAATGATAGCAAAATGCTGCTTTTATTTTTATAGACAAATGAGAATTCATTTTAGTTTAAAATTTATTATTAGAATACTTGCATCATAATTATTAAACAATCAGAAAAATTAAGTATTAGGTATGAATGGTCAAAATTAACTGAAGAATGGAAAATAGAAAAAATTGAATGTCCAATTTGTTCAACCAAAACATGAATTAAACATCATTTTAAGCAACAACAATGTCCAAAGTCTAAAGAACAAATTTGAAATAATTGATGATTGAATATTAATGAATTAGAAATGAATATCATTACTCATTCCTGCTAGTACTAGTTATATTAACTGTATATAAGTTTTAAATACCAAAAAAACAAAATAAAAAAAGATTACATGTAATATTTAAACTTACAATTTTGAGTATACTGTATACTACAAACTTTGGGTTAAGTAATAGTTTGATAATATGTAGAAGTTATTGTTTCATTAATTTTATGTCACATCTTTAATAAAAGGTTGTGATAACTAAAAATAAGATAGAATTATTTTATTACTTTCCAACTTGTAATAAATAAGAAATAAGTTCATTAATAATTTATTTGCATATTGGATTTTTAATCAATTTTGGATTTATTAGTAATAAATATCAATTTACATGTTATCTATCTATTTCTAAAATGTGACAAATTCTTTTTTGTGCATTGTACAGTTATAAGAACTTCTTTTTTGATATATTTTTATTTGTTATTCAATATCAATATTGTTGATAATTTTTTTAAATTTTATTATTCAAACTCAGTTTATTTTCAACAGCCTCTAGTTGCTATTGAAGAACGAACTGAAACTTTATATATGTCATAAGTGAAAATGAAATTAAGTGGATTTGAAATTCCTAGTTAAATTAAGGTTAGGGTTTATATATAAGCTAGGTGCAATAGAAAAGGAAAAAATCAACAAAATTTCAAAAAATTTTTTTTTGTACAATTCAATTCAGAATAGGATTAGAATTATTTTTCACTTAATTTACATTGTTTTGATTTTCTTCAATTTGACCAATAGGAAAAATTGTTATAGATATGTTCTAAAACTTTAACCTGAATTTATAATAAATATAGTTTTCAATAAATTATATATATCTGTAGTTCAAATTTCTACATAATGGCATTTTATTTTTAGTAAAGCAAAAAAGATACTCCTTAAATAAAAAACAGTCAAGTCAATAATATTAAAAAAAAAGATAAATTAAAGAAAAATTAGCTAATGCAGTTCTTTATTGCATTTTAGAAGTAAGGTGAAGGCTGGCCAAATAACATGCTGAAGATATTTAAATACCTGAATGGATCCTTCTCAAAAAAGAACCATCATTAATTAATTTGATAAATGAAGAGTGAAAAGAAGTAAAAAATTAAAATGATAAAAAAAGCAATCTGGTTTTTAAGTCATGGCATATATTTCCTTTTGATTCCTTTATTAATTTTAAAATTAAAGATTAAATACATGTTCTAAGACAAACTTAAAACTTAAAAATACTTACTTTTTAAAAAATTCCAATTCTGTATTCAAATTGTCATAAGTTTTTTTCAGTTAATTTAATTCAAGTTGAAGTTTTTTCAATTTTTTTTTCTTTGTACTATGTATGAAGCAGCTATAAAAAGGATTATTTAGCTTAGTAGATCTGTTATTGCATAGTTACAATATTAAAAAGCAATTCAACTTTTTTTAATAATTTTGCATTACTCTTTTTAAAGTAAGTAACTGGAAGTTGTTCTTTAAGCATAATAAAATCTTGAGTAATTGTTTCATGTCTTTTTTTCTCTTCTTCTATTTTAATATTTCTATATTCTTCTAAGTCAATATTTTTAGTCCTTCTTCTCTTTTTTTTAACAGGTGTATTATTTCTAAATTTATAGCAGTAAATTTATATTGAAATAGATATAATTTCTTTATTAGTTAATTCAAAAAAGTAAATTAGATTTTTGTCTTGGAAATGATCTTATAGGACATGTAATTACTATGTTAAATAATGTCATTATAAGAAAAATAAGCCTGATTAATACCTGTTTACATCATCTTCAATAAATTCAGAAATATTCAATTGTGCATCGATATGATCTAATGTTAAAGAATAACCAATTGTAGCATTAAAATGTTCATTATAAGGACATTGTTCTGTGCATATACATGAACATTTATTTATTTAGCATTTTCTTAGATATAAGTGCAGTTAAGATAAAGTCTGTTATTAGGCAATTATGTAAAACAATAATTTCTTTATCTTCACTTTCAAATAAGGATTGATTAAAAATTTTTTTTTTTTTTTTGGTATTAAGGTGAGGTCTTGCTTATATCTTTATTAGTAATTTAAAATAGTTACATATATATATGC